CCCTCCTCAAACGATCTTGAAAAATATGGTAAACCTGTCCGAAATATCGAAAATCAACTCGGATATGTACATTCAATTAAGCTATTAATTTTTGATATTAAACTAGAACCTATAAGAAACATAACAAAGCTACCTACAGGATAAACAACAAACCTACCCATAGGAGAACAAACGAAAAAGCCTGTACCTCATATTTGTACCCCTCTCCCCTGCGCTGTGGCATCAAATTGATAGGAAACATGGGTGGCACCTTTACATATGTTATCGTTGTCAAAGAATCGACAAATTGCGATCACATAAATAAAATAAATTGTAGCCCAAATAAAGTCTTCAGCAAATCACAATTTTCATTAATGAAATCCCTGTTTGCTGGGAGTCCACTTTGCTGGGAGCTTTTGCTGTCATTTTGAAGGAATGCGAGGCGCATCAGACATCGAAATTAGCTATCAAAACATTTGCCTCCAAACGAGATTAAGACGTATCGCATAGAGACCGATCGTCAAGTTCCAAGTGGGCCAATGCAAAACAAGCGGAACATCCGCGCCGCGCCCGCTATACTTCCTGCCAAGCTCGATTACTACACCAATTAGCTCCACATTCAAGCGAGGCGACGACACTCAGGAACAACAAAAATTCGCGAAAGCGGCGCCTTTTTATGCAACCCGCACCGCATCCGATTCCCGATTCGGTGACCTCGGGTCAATTCTCAGCAGTGGTGCCATTTCTGCGGAAGACGGGTCGGTTAAAGAGAGTCAAGCACAGAGAGATTGCTCCACGTCATAGAAAAGATGAGTTACGAATAGTTTTCCGCTAAAATATCTCAAAATTATGTGATGCTATCTAGAAAAAGTGTTCTAATCGAAATGTTTTGAGTATCTAGTTTTTAGTCTATTCACAAAAAGAAGATTACCGTAGGACCTACTGACGTAGGATCTGGTGCAGGCCCCAGTTGTTTAAGAGAAGCTCAAGTTTTCAAAATTGAAGTAAAAGTTTTGAAAACCGTCGTCAGATACATAGGCGGATCCAGACACCCCAAATATGAGAGGGCTGGAAGGGATGGGGGGTAGAAGTCTGCTTCCCCCAAAATTTTTGTAAATTTTTGGAGCATGTAATATGCAGTTTCGGTCAATTTCATAATTAATAATTACCAAATGTAAGCGGCCTCCCTTTCTCTTTCCTCTGTTCCTTCTTTCTTCCTTCCCTCTCTTTTTCTTCCTTCTCTTTTCCGGGCCAGCAGGGGATGCGTAGTTCCCCTATGCTCCCCTCGGATCCGCTTATGGTCAGATATTTTTTTAAAAAAAATAAAAGTCGGTGAAAGCATTAGAGTTTTGAACTTTCCCCTCCATTGGCATGTGCGGACCAACGCACACAAGCGTCCATAGCAATTTATGCGATTGATTTAATTTATTTTTTCCTTGTCCTATCTTTTAATTTTGTGTACTACCCTTTTGTGACCCCTCCTTTTTAAATTTTTTTAATTCTGTACTACACTATTTTGATTTCTCCCCTAAGGTGTTTATGGCTCAGATGTTAAAATTACCAAATAAACGTATCTACCAACCAACCATAAATTCATTGGACCGAATGGGAAGAAACCTTGTAATACACAAACTTCGTGGATTATGTCATCTAAAGTGGTTTTTCAACGGGCAATATCAATATTGAACATTGAAACATAGCGCTCGAACGGATCTCATCGGTATTTGCAATGCTGTAAAATTTAGATACTGGAACACGATTCTGTATACTATAATCTTCACAACTTATATCTATTAACCGGATTTTTCTAGAAACATCGGTGAATTTTACACAAGAAACGGCAACCGTGATTCCCGGTGACCAGAGTCCCGATGAATCGGGCCAAGGATGACTCGACGTGGATGTCCACAAGTCGGAATTACAACTCTGACAATGAGTATGTTCGGGATTGTTGAGCGGTTTTTCTATGAAATATTTGAGCAATCCCGCGCAGTTATCCAAGGAATGTAACCGAGTGGGACAGATGTTACCTTCGCGGATTCTATAATTCTTTTGGGCGCGGAGACGTTCATCATCACCTAATGATTAAACAGTGAACATAATGTTCAGAAAGTCTGCCGTGGAATTTTGGCAAATTAGGTCGTTTTCACGGTTAAAATTGCACTGAAAAAAAACTCTGGCCGTGGAAACCGTACATACCGGTTATGTAGACATACCGTCCGTTCTGGGCCCAGAGGCCAAAAGTTACAGACGTAGCACCCAGAGCAGTTGAAGCCATACGCAGCACCCTGAACTTTCGGCCTATGATTCCGGAACGGACGGAATGTCTTTCCGGCCCGTAACTTTTTTTCAGTGTAGGCTTTCTAAATGGAAGGACCATTTAATGCTCAATTTTCACGTGACATTTTAAAGAAAAAAATTTGCAAGAAAAGTTTAAAAAAAGATTTGTTTAAATGCTTCAGGCAAATGTCAAAATGCGTAAAAAGAACATTCAATGTCATCTTATGATGAATGAAGAACGTTGTTTCAAACAGTTTGCTGCAGAATTTTGGCCTCGTTAAGGCCGATTTTACGCAGTCAAAATGGGGTCTTTAAATAAATTGCAGTAGTTCAGATTAATTAGTAGTTCCAGTGTTGTGGCCGCCGATCGGCGTGGAACGCATATTAACGGCTTCAAGACTGCATACTTCACGCACTGCGCCAAGCACAGCACGGTCGTTGTTCGAGACGAAAAGCATGTTAGCGCCTACAAGACTGTATGAATACTTCACGCATTGCGCCCAGGGTGGCAAAATTTCATGAAAAATAAAATCTTGAAATTTCACGTGAAATATTTCATGAAATTTCAGAAAGAGGTTGTTCCATCCCCCATTAGATTTGGCCCCCTATCAAATATGATCCATCTTTTCAGGAGTGATACAGTAGCATGTGAGACGTTCAAATATGGCGGTCATTTTGACTTAGGCCCCCCCAGAGAGGGGGGGCGGGGGGTCAAAGACAAAACCTTCAACTGCCTATAACTTTTGAACGAAAAATCGGATTGAGTTGAACTTTTTTTTAAATGAAAGATCTCAAAAAGATCTATCTGCTGATACCAGAAAAATTGAAAAAAAGTTAAATTTAATGCAAATTTTTAGCAATTTTTCAATTTTTTAGGGGACAAAATTTTCAATTTTGTCGTGTTTCGGCACCGCGCAATGACTCTACTAAAACAAAAACCAGTTTTTTAGATTCTACACTTAATTTCCTACAAGATGCAAAAAACCGCATCTTGGGGAAACGTTTAGATCGCGAGCTATGGCTCGTCAAAGTTAGCCCCGCGCTGAGCGCGCGCGCCCTGCGCTGTTCGCATATCCTCTGCGCGTCTGCCACCGATCCTGTTGCCCCTCCTCCCCCTTCCTAAATGCAAATTAACATTCTACTACCCAGCTTTCGTATATATCTGCGTTATAGGTACGTGAAAATTTCAGCAAGTTCGTGATTTCCAGTGGAATTGATGCTTTATTTCGCTCCCCCCCCCCACCCCGGCCACTGTGCTCCAAATATTGTGCAAAAAAGAAATATATAAATTTTCTTGTTTCATGTTTTTGCTGATGTAGCACCCTGTGACTACGAGATCGAATTGAGGTAATTTTTTATCCCACCTCCCAACCACTTTTCGGTGTATTGAGCGTTTACCATTCATGAGAGGCCGACATTATTATGGGTATTCATAATAGGCTGCTGAGGAATTAAAAAATATTTCGCACGATTTTTCTCCACATAGCTTTGAGAAATATAAAATGATTTCGTTGTTGGCAGGGGCACACTTCAGTGCCAGTGGCCGGGTTGGGGGGGGGGGGGGAAATAAAGCATCAATTCCACCGGAAATCACATTATTGCATAATTTGCATTTAGGAAGGGGAAGGAGGGGTAACAGGATCGGTGGCAGACGCGCAGAGGATATGCGAACAGCGTAGGGCGCGCGCGCTCAGCGCGGGGCTAACTTTGACGAGCCATAGCTCGCGATCTAAACGTTTCCCCAAGATGCGGTTTTTTGCATCTTGTAGGAAATTAAGTGTAGAATCTAAAAAACTGGTTTTTGTTTTAGTAGAGTCATTGCGCGGTGCCGAAACACGACAAAATTGAAAATTTTGTCCCCTAAAAAATTGAAAAATTGCTAAAAATTTGCATTAAATTTAACTTTTTTTCAATTTTTCTGGTATCAGCAGATAGATCTTTTTGAGATCTTTCATTTAAAAAAAAGTTCAACTCAATCCGATTTTTCGCTCAAAAGTTATAGGCAGTTGAAGGTTTTGACTTTGACCCCCCGCCCCCCCTCTCTGGGGGGGCCTAAGTCAAAATGACCGCCATATTTGAACGTCTCACATGCTACTGTATCACTCCTGAAAAGATGGATCATATTTGATAGGGGGCCAAATATAATGGGGGATGGAACAACCTCTTTATGAAATATATTGAAAAATACAAGTTCCTTTTATGTTTCGAAGGTTGTAAAAATCGTAATTTTCTTCTATTTTTGGGTGTTTGAGTGCGGGTTGCATACTTTGGCCCCTGAAAAATATGAAATATTTCACAGCCTCGTGAAATTTCATGAAATATTTCACTGAAATTTCCAATCTTTCATTTCTTTCTTACGTTTCATGCCACCCTGATTGCGCCTAACGCAGTGCGGTCGCTGATCGGCGCGGAAAGTGTATTAGCGCCTACAAGACTGTATGAATACTTCACGCATTGCGGCAATTTCAACGTAGAGCAACTCAAGCGGACCCCTGTCCCAGCTTCCATAGAAAATTCAGATAGTTTTGATGGTCCTGATATTCCTCGCACGGAGAGGTATGCGCCTTGACATTTAGTAGCTTATGACGAAGTAGCTAATACTTAAGCGGCCCCTATCTTTTGACTTGACCTTGACGTTTTGAATTATAAAAAAGCCCAACTCGTTCATTGTTCCCCCTCGAATCGGATAGTGCGATAAATCTCCAATTACCTCGCAAAAATGTCCCTGTTAGCGTTTGATCTTTGATGAGACAGTCATAACGTGTCAAAATCTCAGTCGACAATTGAGCTGATGGCGTGACATATCCGTTTTATTACCTTCAAACTTTCCACTGAAAAACGACGCTAAACGGATCGCGAGCCACACTAAGAGCTTCAAAATTTAATTACACGCGGAAGCCCAAGAGCCGTCATAAAAACGGCGGTATGTGCTTAGAGGCCCTCAGTTTGTGAAAAAGTGAACGATCATGTCACCTGAAAAAAGTCGTATATCTCTGGTGTTCCTTGGAATTTTCTCCTCGGTAAGATCTCACAGTTGAAATTTCGATTCGCACATAAAGCTTTATTACAATTTTTCTCCCTCGAAATCTCTTGCAAGAAATTATGAGGATGTATATGAGGCAGTGGTGGTGTTAACTTTATTACAAAAATGCAAATTAAAATCCAATGAAAGTGATGAATTGTTCAACTGTTATGTTTAACCAAAAAAGAAAACAAGTTCCTATACTTTAATTACACGAATTTTTAGTATGGTAAATTGACTGGGTAAAACTGTTGTTTTCCTGAGATAACATCATATTAGGAGATTGCAGTAAGCATTTCTAGTGTTTTTTTTGTACAGAAAGAATTGAAAGACTGACATTCACATTTCTATAATTGCTTTTCTCCTTTAGTGCCTTTTGGTGGTAAAACACATACTCCGGAAGTACACATAAGTAACACTAAGAAAACTGTTAAAAGTGTACATAATCTACCAGACCAGGAAAATAAATTGCACGCATGTTTCACTCCTTTGGCGAAATTGTCCAGTTCGAAGACTGCAGGGCATCTTTTTAGTCTCGCCAGCGAACTGGAGGAATTTATTGCCCATTCTGTGAACTGGGCAGCCAGCCCTTAGGACTAGTCGGTCAAAAGCCTGAAAATTACGCCAACGGGCTGGGCTGGTCGTTAATTCTAAATGCAATTCACATGCATGCTCTAAATGCAAATTATATTTACCAAGTTTATGAAGATTAACACTCAACTCGACTATTAAAATCGATTTGGATCAATTTGCGACATTTTCAGGCGGTCCTGTGTTCAGAATCGGGACCGATCACAGACCTCAAACGCAATGAGCGAATCTTCGCTTTGAATGAGATCGACGCTGGACCAACAGACGAAACCGCGGGACTAGGCTTCACGGATGAAGACCAAGAGGTTGACTCAAGGCTTCAAGGAAGGGCCTGGTTTGGTAGTGGCTTCGGCGGGTTCCCTTTCATCAACAATGGCGGGATCAGCAGGGGCATCGGAAACGGAGCAGTCATCATTGGTAATTAAATCAGGTTTCAAACTCCTTCCTGTGACATGAAGAGTAGAGATTTAAAACAAGTGGATCGATTTTCGAATCGTCATCGAAATAATCGCGATTGTTAACCATAAGATGCCCAACCAGGGTCAATTTGACCCGAGGCTTTCTTAAAACACGCTTTCTGCGGGTTGTATATGAGACCGGTAACTACGAGCTTTAGATAAAGGTCTGCAGATAAACTGTAAAGAAGAATCGGACATCAAATTGAAAAAAAAGAGAGAAAAATCGAGTGTCAGGGAATTTTGTTTGCAACTATCCCTCGAAAACCGAAACCGGGTCATATTGACCCGACTATCTTTTCTGGAGAGGTATGGTGCTGGTGTATTTGAGCTTCAGATATTTATTTTTCAGATTTTTTTTAGATTTTTTTAGATTTTTATTTCAGAATTTGTAGTAGGTGTAACGTTCCCACTGCTTGAAAAATGTACTTTGGAGACTTCAACAACTTTGCCCCGACCGATATCCGAAAATGTCATTTCCACATATGATATCTAAACTTTCCTCCATATTTCTTATTATGACATGGATTTTTAATGATTCAGAGGAATTATTGGTAAATTTTTACTTAACTCTGCAAGTCTTAAACGTGTTTATGAAATTTAGGTATTGGCAGTTTAAGGACATTTGGTCAACGATTATTTGTCCGCACACCAGTTTTGTCCGCCAGAGCGGCATGCCACCAGTGTGAAACGTGCACAGGCGCTCACAAACCTATGGGGATACTTCACGCATTGCGCCATGCTTGAAGTATCCCCTTAGGTTTGTAGGCGCCAATGCGCTGGTCGCCCGCCTTCCGCGCCGCAGCATGCCACGGCGCGGCGCCTACAAACCTAAGGGGATACTTCACGCATTGCGCTATGCTTGAAGTATTGCCTTAGGTTTGTAGGCGCCAATGCACTAGTCGCCCGCCTGCCGCGCCGCAGCGTGCCAGCGTGCAGCGGCGCCTCAAGCAACTATTTCGCAACAGAGGTGTTGCACAGTATAATACGAAATTCAAGGTGCTCCAGCATATTACGAATTACAGGCATCCTTTAATACAACGAAGCTTTCCTCACAAAATAAATCGATAAAGAGAGCGGTAACCAAAAAACTCACTAAGTCCTAGCATCCGTATTTAATAAATATTAATATTACATATCTTCCTCAAAAAAAGCAAAATTGGAAAAAAATAAAAAAAAATCGAGAATAAACACAGCGGAAGATTAAGGCTGTAATGAAGAGGATTGCTTACGTTACGGCGAGAGCCCACTTTCATATCCAACCAAACTCTGCATGCACAAATGAAGAGCGAATAATTACCAGGGTTGCCACTTCGGCTGTGGCCCCGGCGACTCCACCAATGTATTTCCTCCCTATCTGGACGTGAAGAGTTTAACCAGGTATGGACGTGGCTATCACCATTACGTAGACAATTTCCTCCATTACGGTCTCAGAATTTTTTTAGTATTGGAGTTCGTCTCAGAGAACCAGTATGTTTTTCGCGAAAAAACCTTTCAGAAACGACTTTTTTGCCTTTCTTGAGGGAACTCACGAATTTTGTTCTAATGTGGCCTAAACGATACCATATGATAGGACAGTCCGCCAGTAGAAGTTTTAGCTTGAGTTCAGAGCTCGTTTTAGCTAACATCAAGTGGACTTCCTTTTCTATTTAAGGAACTACAATTTCTGGCTCATTCGTAAAAACGCCCGTGACCATACGGAAACCAATGGTACATACGTTGTTTCTAAAATAGGCCAGAAATTGTAGTTCTGAATTGCAAAAAGTAGCCCAAATAATGAGAATATGCATCATAAAATAGATGAGGTATATCAATTAAAGTTGATTTTTCGACGATCTTCAATATATTAGCATTTTCTAATGGTTAAAAATGTTATCTTTGCAACACTGTAAAGCAACTAGCTTTGAACTCAAGATGAAACTTTCACTGGGGAATATTATCTCAGCATAAGGTTTCATCTAAACCACATTTAAACAAAATCTCTTCGTTCCCCAAAATAGTAGCACTTTTTTGATTTTAATACGAAAATTTACTAAAATCGCAGATCTCTGTTGCATACAAAAACTCCAATTGGACGTATTCAAGTCAAAAGTAACTATTTCCATCCTAACATGAACCCCGTGATCCATAAGAATACATGCACGACAGGGCTTATGATACAATGGATATAGTTCTCTCTGATCTAAATACGTTCAATTAACTCTTCATGACATTCTCCTGCGCAGGTAATTCGGGCATGTCTGGAGGTGTAAACAATTTCAACCCGTTCACTTCCTCGGGGAACCACTTGGAGCTTGACCACGACAACGTCCACGTGACGGTCCACAGCCCGAAGAAAACGCAAACCATCACGTTCAGGGGGAAACGGGCATTCGTGAACCGGAAACTTGTGTGCAAGAACATACACGACCTGGACGACGAACCGAAGTACCAGAAGAGTGCCGATGGAGCGTTGTGGTACACGAACCTCCCCGTGGGCGAGGAGATGACGGAGAAGGAGATCGAGGAGTTCAACGAGGAGGACAGGAGGATAGAGGAGGAGAGAGAAAATGCGATGAAAGAGGCACAAGAGCACACTGCTAAAGTCCTCGAAGAGGCGAACAGGGTGAGGGAGGAAGCTCTCAAGGCAGCGGAGAGAGCCAGACAGGACGCCATGGAGCAGGCTAGGAGAGCTATAGAGTTGGCGAATAGTTTCTGGGGTTTTAATTGGGGGTGGTGAGGCTCGAGACGCCAGATAGTTGGGCTACACTTTGCAATTAAGAACTATAAATTCCGGCCCGGTTTTAAAACAACGTATGTGCCATTAATTTCCCTATGCACATACGTGTTTTTTCAGATGAGTCAGAATTTATAGCTCCAAATTGCAAAATTCAGTCCAATTCATCGTTTCCCTCGCGAAAGAACGTAACTACATTTCAATGTTGCCATTTTTCCACCTTGTAAACAGTGGCGTGGCGTGATTCACAAGATATCCATCGATCTGCTATTTAAACCTACGGAAAAATATCGATAGACAGTATGTTTAAAACGAACACCTTAATAATCGATCTTTTACAATGGGGATCTTTTCCTTCAAATGGGGAATATCGATAGTCGGATCATTCACGCCAATTTGAACAAAAATCGAACGGGTGTATGCTTGTGAGAACTCGAATTATTAAGTCAATTCTGCAACCTTGAAATGGAGTTAAGTTCCTTCGTCCGGGAAGCGACAAATTTCAAGAATCAGCCTGCAAGGGCATTTTCCGACTGAAAATTTGGTGGAAGCCAAATTGAAATGAAGTGAATGTAAATTTTACGCAACGTACCATGTCGCTTTCAATATTTAAGTAGGCTTGCGGCTGTACTTTCTGTTCGAAGATTTTCTGTCTTAGGTTATCTGAAAATCAGTTCTTGCAGTAAATTATGTGAATTTTATCCGATGGTTTTAAATTTCGGTCTGTTTTTATGTTCATGACTTTATGATTGATAAAATTTGCCCACTGTAAACAAGTAATTTACCATAAGCTTTCGTGGCGTAAGTATTTTCTCAGCTTGTATTTTCGTGTACCCTTCCGTTACATTCAAAGTTTGTGATCCAACAGCTGGGAATAATTCTAGTAGGGGAAGATGACTGGTTACCTGTGTTTATGTGATATTTTGTGATTAATTAGACAAAATTTGTATTCCTTATCTAAATATTTATAATATTATATCATCATGGAAAACAATTTTGTTGATTATGTCATTGTTTTTCACATGCTCCGAAATAGGTGTACACTGACAAACCGTGAGGAAACCGGATTTTTGCTAAATCGCAGGAGGAATCTAAAAATGCTGCTGCACACTTTCCACGGAGGTAATGACCACCGTTAGGTAGGTATAGTAGAGCTGAGAGGGCTGGCGGACATAGCGTATATATAAGCGCAGTTTTTGCTACTTCGAGAAAAACGTGTCTAAAGTTTCTAAATTATATGAAGCCTAATGGCGGAAAGAAAGTTTAAACTCACATTTTGATACTAAAAATTGAATTTTACCGGTGAACTCTTCACAGCATTTATTTCAAAATTACATGTAGGTGAAATCACTAATATCTCAATTTTTTTAAAACTGCACTTATGCGCTTTGTTCTTTGAGTCCTTCAGTTGAACCGCATGTAGTAAAACCGTCTAAACAACGGTTACGGAAAAGCCACCGTTGGCTGTAGCACGACGAGATCCACCATTCTAGTGCCTAAAGTTCGTACAGGCAAATATCGAAATATCGAAATATCGACAGCTCTTCACGGTTTTATACGTGAATTCTGAGGTTCTATCGTGGAGGAGGGTGGAGTCTTCGCTTGATTTACGAGCACCAGTGGCGTGGCGTGAAATGCGATTCATCGATTGATATGTAATTTAAACCTATGGTAAAGAATCGATTATTAAGGTGTCCGCTACGAACACCCTGTTTATTGATCCTTTTCCATAGGTTTAAATGGCATAAAAATCGATAAATCGCAATTCACGCCACGCCAGTGGCGGGTACGTTACAAGTTTGAGAGTCCGTAAACGGGAGAAGTACGTAGTTCGTTCCTTGGTTTTCAAACCTCTTTCTAGAAAATACTGAAAGTCTTCTTGGAAGTGATCGGAAGTTTCTCCTTCCCATAGTTATTTATTTATTTTTTTTTTTTATTCTTTTATTTTTTTTGGAGTTTTTTAGTCACATGATTCAACAAAAACCACGCGTCTTTTGATGAACTTACACCGAAAGAGTAAATTTTCTACTGTGTCTACTCTGGATGCGACCGGTGTGAACGGATTCGGCCTCGGAATTTTGAGGCGACTAAACGGACGCGCATGCAAACGCTATTTTTGGAGTTATCTCTCGGCGGCGGAGTGGATCACAGCCAAAATATGAGCCTTTCCCAATTTTACCTCTGTTATTGTTCTCGTAAACTCGCTTGCCGCTTTAAGCGTGAGATATCCATTCGTACATTTCGCGACTCGACGTTCCGTCAAAAATTAGATTGGAAACCAATTCGAACCTAAAACTATGGTAAACACCAAGACTAACAGTATGCAGATTATGATATGACTGATTTGCGTATTGAAATCAGTAAATTCGTATAGTTTTAAGGAGCTGAGAAAGTATCTTTTAAATTGCTTGAAGAAATAGATTAGCAAGAATTAATGACTGCAATAATTGCTGTAAGCGCTCAGAATTCCTACATTTTCATTCTTCTCTGAATTAGTCAGAAATTATTAACAAAAATCGGCCTAACTACACCAGATATTTTTTAATTTTCGACAAATTTCCGAAAATTTCCTACGTCATACTTTCTCAAAGAAAAACGAAGCAAAATTTTAGTTTGAAATGTTAAGCTTTGCACTTAAGGTGACAGTCGTGGCAAATCTTAAAAGTTAAGAATCTACGTGTTTTTGGTGAGAAAAATAAATTAATTAAATAAAGGATATTTGAGAAAATGTACATATAAAATGCAGTTCGGCTGCTCCTGGGTGGATTTACGTCCATCCATTTTCAAAAGGATAGTAGTAGTTTTTTTTTATATTTTTTTCTAGCTTTGAGAAAAGGACTCTAATCCACTTTTAGAGTATATTGTAGCAAAGGCTTACCAGATGTGATGTTACGAAAAAAATGGTGGAAATACGGTTTTGCGATCAGCAAAAAAGTTGATGGAGGATGTTCGTTTTGGCGCAACAGATAAATCTCTTTGACCCGCTGCAGGTCTTGCAGCGTGATTGTCTTTGAAATGTAACGTTAGCAACTTAACTCCTTTGTGTTCTAGACGTATACGTTAATAAGGAATTGTGTGCTGGGAAATTAAGTTATGATTACAAAATTTCCCAGAAATTTATTTTTAAATTTCTTTCCCTGCTAAATTATCGTCTATTTCAACTCATGACTATAGGCAGAGTGATCAAATTCAAGTATACGTGGTTGCTTTGAATTATATCGTTTAGTTTTTTATAAAAATTGTCGTTTTTCTCGCACGAAAAAACTTAACTACATTTCAATGTTGTCAGATTTTTTCGAGCAAATTGCACTTTTTAGCAGGAGAATAATGGGCATTTCGAATTGAAAATTTTAGTAATTTTTCTTCTGTACTCGTGCAAAAATCAGACTTTTGAACGAAAATTGTGCAGGTTTACTCCCGCAAAGAATTGAACTGTTTGAGTCAATTTTGCAACATTGTGATGAAGGTATGTTCCTTCGACCGGGAAACGATAAAACGATAAACGATAAACGTCCACCCTTTTGTGCACGAGCGCAAAATTTGTGAGAATCCAACATTTTGTAGAAAAACACTCTATGTAACGGGCTGATTATTGAAATTGATAAACAAAGTGATAGACAAAGAACAATAGCTCGATTTAGCGTACCAACTGAATAGGTCCATTTCTACGACGGCTAACGTCCTTGGATTTTAAGGATTAATAGTGGAACTTAACGCAATCTATGCTCAGTGTACATTAGCATGAAGCAACTATTCGACCACCAGAGCGTGGCACAGTATCCCTCGAAATTGAAGGCGAACTTAGCGCACCAACTCACTTGGTCAATCCCTTCAACGGCTCAAATCACTGTATTTTGAACTTAAATTATTATACTCCTCTGTTGTGGTTTCAAAAGAGACGATAGAATTCTCTGAAAATGTACGTGGAAGTCTCGAAGATTCTTCCTACGTATCCATTGTCGTCATCAAAATATGCGATTTGTAGGTATCAATTGAACAAAATCATAGAAATTGAATCGCTCACTTTAAGTAAAGAGGAGTGAACTATCAAAAGAGGCTGCATTTGGTGAGTAATGGCCCGGTCGACATCCGGTGTCGAATGTCCTTCCCGAGGAACTTTTTCATGGCATGTACCTAAGTACTTAAAAAGATTTGATATTTTTCCCCTTCATGATACAATCACACCTCAATATCTATCTGATGTCGATGGTTCACAATTTATTTTTAAAGGAACGATGAAAATAGATATGAACAAGTATAGACTAGTTTATCTTTTTTTTAATTTCATGAAAGGAACAGTTTTTATAAAAATAGGTTCTTAAAAATAACAAATAAATTAAATTGAACAAAAACAAGATCTCATAGGATATGTTTCAGAGAAGGGATTTTGCACAGATATACTTTTAAATTGAAGTACCATGAAGGAGTGACAGTTTATTTAGATTTTTGTTTTTGTTTTTGTTTTTCATTTAAATTGTGTAAACTTCTACTTCTTCCCGTGGCAAAAAATCAAAATTCAAGTAACAATCAGTGTGAGAAATTGGCTGGCATTACTTGATTTCATAATTTTTCCCCGAATTAAAGAAGTGAAGCAGTAAAACAAAACATGTTAATTTGGAACGTAAATTCGATCGATATTCAATAAAAAAATCAGAGAAAAAAATTAATTAAGTAGAGGGAGCAAAATATGGCCATAATTACAGGAAGTAAATGCTTAGCTCCCTTCTCTGAAACGAAATTATACAACTTAAAACATGGAGGAAATTATTGGGCAAGGACAGTTATGAACATTGCTGAACATAACATTAGGAACGTCTTTAAAATTTTATGAGGAAGCCCTTAAAGTTTCTAGAGATGTATGAGAAAGAAGAATGATTTAAAAAGATGATAAAATCAAAATCCATGTAGATTTGTAAGGCAACTTACTTGAGAGCAAGTCGATTTCACTATGAATGTTACATCAACCCATTCATCAAACAATTTTACATCATTATGTATGCCAGTTACAGAAATTAAATTTTCAGAAAATACAGATGTCATTATCAGAGAATTGGCAAATAACAAGAACAGTGGCCACTGAAGTTTATGACAATTCATTTTGAAAATCTGAGTAAATTTGAAAAAAAGAAAGTTTTAAGCACAACTCATAAAAATTCCAGAGACCATAAAATCATGTAAATATACAAATTTCTATAAAAATAATTATATTTACACAGAGGTAATAAAATAAAATAATAACGAGTAAATGCTTTAAGACTAAAGTGGAAGTTGAAAATAAAAATCTAATCTAGCATTCTCTCCCTTTGTCATCTCACCATCTTTTTGGCATATAACAAATATACAGCTCACTTTACACAGAGACCTGTGTAGATGAATAACCATTAAATTAGGTTGGTAAAATTGATATTGCTTTTAGACACCTAATTATGAATACTTTGTGTCTTGATTCGGAAAAGGCCAAACTCTAAAAATTCCTTATTTGTATTTTACTGCCAAGAAAAGATTCTCTGAGTTGCGAGCAGATTTTGCTTAAAAAAAAATGGACCTTCCACAAGTTTATCACCGGTGTATTTATCCAGAAACACCCAACTTATTACCTTTCACTGGATTGAGCCTACACTTTAATGAAAATGAGAAAACAAATTCGAAAAACATAGGTATTATTTTTTAGACTCTTTATGACAGGAGGACAAAATGCCTAAAAAACCTTTTCATATAATTAAAAAATCATGAATCTATCACTGAAGTCCATTCTGACCACTTTTGTTCTTCCATCAGAGTTAAACACTTCTAAAACATAAATTTAAAGTTCGCCGGACCAATCAAGAGGGTGAAAGATGACATTAAGGGAGGAAATTATAAAAAAGAAAGCCAAATTTTGAGGCTTAAATCAGCCTTCAAAAGAAGCCGGGTGGAGGTGGAAAATGAAGCTCGAGGGGAAAGCAGCATGAAAGAATATAAAAATTTGCGAAGTATCCAAAAATATCAAAAGTCGAAAATCGCAGGTAAAAAACGTCAGCAATTTTCCAACTAGAAACCGGGCCTGCATCGAAAGTTTCCTTTAGAAAACAACCCGCGCCACGGTTCAGATGGGAAACGTATTTTTCGAAACTTTGAAGACCAGGATGAGCACGCGTCTCACCATCCATCGATGGAATCACAGAAGATGTTGATTGTTGACCAACGATCACTCGCCCTATTTTGAGCCGCCATTGACAGCAATCGATGGAGCTATCGATGGAGCCTGGTCTGTTAGAATTCGTTTGATTTCGTCCATTGGTTTTAGTAGAGCTATTAAAACATTATCGTCGCGACGCTGAAAAAAGAGAAAAGACCGTTAATTGATTCAAATCTGAGCAGTGGCGTGGCATACTTTGCGATATATCGATTGATCTGTCTTTTGAACCCATGGAGAAAGATCGATAAACAGGGTGCACGCAACGAACACCTTAATGATCGATTCTTTACCACAGCTTCAAATTGGAAGATATTGATAACCGACCATTCACGCCCCGACACTGAATCATGAGATAGGCAAAGAGTAGTACCTAGTAGTGAGAGGAAGGAAGTAACGGGCAGATAGAATAGGCCTACTTCTGCAGTATTCTGAGAGGGAATTACAGTTAGTAGTTCCAGAAATTAAAATTAAAGGAAGAAAACTTTCTCTAATTTCAGCGCTGGGTCAGGGGCGCTAAAAATATGATTTTCGATTTGGCTGCCCCGCAGAATTGAGGAAAATTTTGCTTCTTCATTGTGCATTAGAGAGAGACATTTTCATGTTAAACATTTAAGCCCTAAGAATAATTGAATTTATTTTTAAACCCGATTTGAATGATGTTTTACTCATCGGAAGTAATTAATAATTTCAGAATCTCTGCCAAACCATTCAAAAAGTTGTTTCCGATCAAATCTATTTCAACATTTTTAAATAACTGTAAGTTCGCTCTCACCTGGAAGAGAATTTCAGGCTCAAAGTAAACGAGACCCTTTTTCTTCGCGGCGATTAGTAATCCAACTACTTTGTCCGAAATTTTTGTGTACAACTGAAACAAAAATGAAAAACAAAATTGAAATTCGCAAATAGAAAGCATACTTACGTAACTTTAAGTCTTGAATCGATCTGATTGTTCCTCTGTAAAATTTTCCGAGGAAAGTGGTCTTTACGCACGGGAAACATCCCATTTCCCTAGAAACATTTTCCGACGTAAAGATTGCGATAATTTGAAAATTAAGTTGCGATTATTTTACGATATTTAGGCGTTAAATTAGCTTAAATTATCATAATCTAAGCGACTATCTTAAATCTCGTCGCAATTTTATCTCCATAAAATCACGTTCGATGCAATTGAAATTTTACCTCAATTTATCTTAATTTTTTGTTTCATAATATTGCGATAAATAGCCGTCGATAGAATAGCGATACATTCTCCGATCAAAACGTAATTTATCGCGATTGCACTGCTACTTGGGTTAGATATCCAATAAGGTCCCTTTCCCCGAGGGAGGGTATGGACTCATTCGACATGTATCGATCGACCTGAACTAATTGACACTGGTTCGGTTTTTAAATAGACAAATGATTGAAAAATGACATCGATCAGTTAACCTCATTATTCTTTCAATCAATTTCCGTCGATTCATGTTGATAAAATCGGTGTCGATCGATTCATGTCGAACGACACCCTCTTTCCCCGAGAACGGTGACAAATACGGAAATTTGGAGGTGTGCTATAATTTTGGCGGAATTTCGGCGTGGGCCGGAATTTTCGCGCGAACGAGGCGATAACGGCGACCGCGTATATGAGGCGGAATGAATGGATAGTAAACAAAATCCGACGAGGGCTTAAAAGGAAACGCCGAAAACTACTGAAACGACCGGAAGTGCGCGTCATCGTCGCGTCGAATTGGCACGCGCCGCGTCGACGCC